TCTATGATCGACACTTACAATTGATGGCATTATAACTGGTACAAAGGTAGTGGTACCACACCAAGAGTGGGATAATTTCTTAGGTTCACAATAGACCTCTTTAACTTGTATGTTTTGTTTTCCCAATAGAGGTCCCAAGAGATCTTGACTATTTGTCTTTTCGTAAGTTACTATAAAATTCCGAAAATAAGCTCCGGGGCTTATATTTTTCAAAAGCCCTTTTTGAGGGGCGGCTTATCTATGGAGGGAAATTTTCGTTTCAAAATCGATTGGGCTAGCCTTCTAGTTGAAAGTAAATTTATCGTTTTTGCTTTGTTTTACTTTGTATTTGAGGGAATTTTCCAAGTACAAGCCCCCGGGGGCTTATATTTGGAGGGGGGATTTAACGGAGGGTTTTTTTTGCGTTACCGGTTTGGGGGGCCTATATTTGGAGGGGCTTATACATGGAGGGGCTTATTTTCGAAATTTTACGGTATGCGCAGATATGCACGTGAATTAGACAGAGTTCTGTAGAGTATTATCACATGACCTGTAGTGGCAAAACAAAACTTTCAAGCTAAAGAGGTCTATAACAACATTATTTTTAGTAGTTTCTGGGGGGGGGGGGGGCAATGATTTAGTATGTGTAATCAAATGGTGACGAGTGAAATTAGGGAATAATTTCACGAGTATACCATTTGATTACCTATTAATATCATGGGTTACGAATTACGTTTAGCAATCTTGGATTTTTGACATGTTTATCCTGGATCGTATCGATCGAGAACTCCACTCTCTCAAATGTTTAGACCTTAAATTTGGCTTATAAAGTTCAGAATTTTTCAGACTATTTCGGCAAAATACCTGTTAGAATCCTTCTTGATGTTCTCTTGTGTGTTCAAGTTTTCTAAAGGGTCTTTTTGTGCCCTGACATCTTCATTCACGGCATTTTTAAAACTTCATCGCCATCTTGACACTGAGACGTACGGAAGGTTGCCATGGCAATTTTGTAATTTCACATGTGAAATTACAAATTAACGCTGAATTTTCGTGCCAAAATTAAGGAGTAATTCGTCACCTATGATATTATGGTTTGAACATCCACTTAAGGGAGACAGCAAAAATTTTACCAGATAGCACAAAAGGCTGATAAACGGCACGGGAGGAAGATTTCAGCAATGTCATGTTCAAAAAAAAAACAACAAGAAAAAAAATTGTTAATATAAAAACGAAAAACTAATGAAGATTCCTTTCATTTCAATCTCAATAGAAAGTGATAGTTTTTGTAATCATATTTGGTGCATTAAAATATATCACTTTACAACTCCTTCTAAATATTTCTCCGTTTCTGATTGGCTCATTAAATCCCACGGCTAATTCTTCATAACCGCTAGCGTTGACCAAATTTAGAAGACTTTTGCGATATCCGGAAAATGACGTCAATAGTACAAGATAATTGCCAGAAAAAGGGACGACAACCGAGAAGCCCTTGGAACGAGGTTGCGTTGCTTTCGTACAGCTGTTTAAAATGGCGGAACATTTCACACAATTCGCGAAGAAATAGCCGGACCGGCTACTGCCTGAAACATAGCAAGAACAGCAAGAATACATACCTTTATTAGCCCGGGCCACGACTAGAACTGGATATGTAGTTTCCTGTAATCTGATTGGCTCAGACCCTCAACTAAAACATTGAGTTGACCGCGAAAGGTCTAAGTTCGACATAAATGTCCCTACTTCGAAGCAGGGCACGCTTTGGCTACGATTTCCATGAAAATCAGCCGTAGCAATACGGAACCGATTAATCGAGACAATTTAATGTGCCATAGGTTTCGATTTACAAATATCAAGATGTTAATGATCAAAGAAGATTTCTGTAAAAATTCTTGGACTACTGATAATATGTCAAGAGACCCGAGGCAACTGTAAGGCACCGATCTAAAGGGAAGAATTAGGAATTTGATTACCGATACATTTTAAGTGGATACGTTTTTAAAAAGTCGTATATTAGGAGTACCGAGAAATAGGCAAACGAAGACGGGAACTTAAACATCGTTCGAAGTAAGCCTGTTTTAGCTTCTTTTTATACCGGGAATTATTTTGAATGAATAGTGAAACAGTTATTGGATTCGGCTTTTGTATGATCTGAAAAATTAAGAAGATCGCGGGGGGTGTTATTCGCCTTTGTCTTCGGCCTCGACGGATAAAACCCTCCTCAATCTGCATAATTCCTTCAGACCATACGCAGACTCATCGAATAATTTCTATAGTTTTTGATTGTATTTGCTTAACCTTAGGCGTCTTGAGCCCTGTCTATACGTATCCGGATATTTTTGAGCCTGCAACTTTTTCTTTCCAGATTAAAAAATTTCCACGTCCACACGTATCCGTGTTCAAATCGAATTTGCCCGTCCACGACCGTCCATACGTATCCGACACGTATCCGGATTCACTCTAGTATCCAGGAATCCTCTGGGAATTTTGGCAACAGAGCATGGGTCGTAAGGCGCGTGATATGCCTTTCACGGCAAAGAACTGGGCTCGATCTTGTTACGTCACCGGATAAAAAAAACATCCGGATTTAGCGTCCACACGATTCCGGATTCATAGCGTATTCAAAAATTTCCACTCTGGAGAGCGGATTAAAAAAGATGCGGATTCGTATGGCGGATTAACCGGATACGTGTGGACGGAAGCTGAATCCGGAAAGAAAAAGTTGCGAATTTAAAAATATCCGGATACGTGTGGACCGAACCTCAGTATCACGCATATCTTCTCAGGACCCGACCTTGACATTTCTATATAAGTTGCACTAATCTAGGCCCTGTCAAGTAACCTTCGCCTGCGCCAGGCTCTCAAGTAGGAACGTCGCGAAAATAAGACGCGTATGTTCTGGAGGCGCTGACCACCTCCTTTTTAACCAAACTAGCCCCCGCGGTTGCCCCTGCGTGTTTTTCGCATCACTATAGGGACTTTACGTTCCGACGACGCGATGGCAGCGAAAACCTCGCTTAAAAAGAGAATTTACGTTCTTTCAGCCTTGATGGCAATAATTCCTACCCATTTCCTTTATCAAAAGTAGGCGAGCCCCCTGGAGTTGAATTCTCAGGATCTCTATCCAAGTTCAGAGAGAGAAATTCTTCATTTGCAAAATGGCCTTTAATACACCTTGCTTGCCCCCCAGAACTTTGCATAATCTTTGTTTGTCATTTCTGCTGGGTATTACATTCGTCTTAAGAGAAATGAAGAACAATGCTTTTCCAAAATTTGAAGGGGCAAACAAAGTGTATTATGGGTGATGTGCAAATAACGAATAAAATTTCGTCGTCGCTTGTTTACGTCCTCCATAAAATATAAAATTAGGCAATTTCACGTTGTGGTCGTGCAACAACGAAAAAGAAATGTACAAAACAGTGTGATGCACGTGCAAAGTTGTTGTTTTACCTTCTAAGGCTATGTTCACACGATACCGAATAGCTTTTTGTGGCGCCACGAAAAGCTATATATCTAGTGTAGTGTGAACACCTACCCGATATGCGAATCTTCACTTTAGAGATCGCAGCAGCGCAGCTTCGCTCCGTCACAAAAATCGCACCGCTACAATTGTTCTGGTGTGTGAACAGAAGCCCTATCCGGTATGATTTCGTGGCGGGGCAAAAGCTATACGGCATCGGGTGACCATGCCTAAACGTCGCCGTCGGATCGTAAGTCCTCAGTTTTCGCGATCTCTTCACACATTACTATCTTGAAGCCTGGAACAAGCTATGGGACCTGTCACAGTTTCTACGATTTCGGTGTCTCGTGATAGCATGCGCTGGTTCATGGGTGGAACTTGACCCTATAATACATCTGGGAGCAACATTGTTATGTGGGTGATAATACTGTAAGTGTTTGTTGAAACAAACATCTACTGGGAAGTGTACAAGAGGTGGTGGAGGATAGGGTTCAGTGCCCGGGGGCGGGGGGCACTCCCTATAATGGCTTATAGTGGGAGGCTCCGCCAGAAAGGGGTAACTTTTGAGGCTTCTGATATAGGAAAGGGTAGGAACTTCACTACAGTTGAACCTCTCCAAAACGGACACCTCGCCCCATGTAAGGGAATCCAAGACTGTCTAGGATTCTGGATTCCAAACCGGATTCTAGGTACTGGATTCCAGGTCCTTTTCAGTGGAACGTGGATTCTGGATTCCAATTGTTAGTGGGATTCCCGATGGATTCTAAGGCCCAGGATTCCGGATTCCACATGCTAAAATTTCCCGGATGCCGGAATCACAATTCCCTTACATGAGGCGAGACACCTATAAGCAAACGCTTGTGGTTTCTCTAGTTTGGGTCTAAAAAGTATTTTTCGCAGTGAATAATAAGGCAGCAACATTAAGGAATTGTGTTTCGTTTGTTTTTATTTGTTCCAACCGGTGCATGAAGATACAAGTCTGCCGCTGCACTGTTAACCTAAGATTTTTGTTGACTATAAGGTATTTTTCCTTCCCTCTAGACGTATCTCACCGTATGCAATAGATTCGTCGACAAAGCACCAAAAATACCAATACACAAAATACCTTTTTTATTGCTTTCTCAATACTTACAAAAACTCCAACATAATCTATCAGACTGTGCAGTTGAATTCAATAATAACAATAATAATTCCTAAGATAATTAAATATCGTGGACAAAAAACGAATGGAAAAATTCGTTTATTAACAGGGCAAGTGATTAGTTAATAGATTTCTCTCTTTTTTCCACATCTTTTTGCAAGTTATGCAGAAAACTATTACTAACACGTTGTATAAATTGTAAAAATGTATAAATTAATGGAATTGGTTTCTCTGGCTACATACAAAATGTATACAAATGTCCTTGTCTTAAGCCGTACATTATATTTTCTCCCAAGGGAGGATAATAGTAGCCTGTGGACTGGTCCTTTGGAGGACTTTAGGGTGAGAAAGCGTGAGCAGACAATGAGGGGAGGGGTGAGGCACCCACATCCCTTTCCATTAGCCTCCACACCATTCTCCCCCGAGGGCCTGTTCACCGACTGGGTTAAAAGACCTTTTTAACTTGAAAGTTTTATTTTCTCAATTCAGACCAAGTGATGTTCTCAAGGGAATTTCTCTTTTGTCTTTTCATTAGCTATACACCCGTGTGCATGTGGATTGCACTTCATTTGAAAGAAACAGTACTCTGGGGTAGGATCACGTGGTCTGGTATGGGAAAACAACACACAAGCTAGAAAGGTCTATTTCATCCTCCTCAGGGCTTTTATGTTAGGAAATGGGTTTTCTATGGGAAAAGCCGAGCAACGGAATTGGTTTAACAGCTATGCTTTCGTCTATTTTTTATCTTCCTTGCATAAATTTTCGGGGCCGACCATTTTGACTGGGAAAGACCGGGATTGGGTGATTTGGTTACGGCAAGAATATTTTTTTTTTTATCGGAGCCAATTATTGTGATCGACTTTTTACGTAACTTTCTACAACTTTTAACTCCATGCAATAATTTTTTCGTTCCCATTTTCTTTTTGTATCCTAACCATTGTTTAACAGCCCTAGGATATTGTTAAGGGTCAAAACGTAGGATATGTATTTTCTCGAGAGCTCTTCGTGACTCCTGACCGAGGTTCCAAGCAGACGAAAGTCCTATCAGGTTTGATTTTAATGGCGATCGACCCACCTGCGGCCCTGTGTGAAGAGGCTAAGGGATTTTAGACTTAAGAAATTAAAGGCGCATTTTCAATAGCATATTCGCCTCTGTCGGATTCCGCGTCAGAGCTTGGTTCCCCGTTTGGTACTGGTACATGTGCTGTACGAGTTAATTCTCCGGTTGAAAACCTTAAAATCAATAAGTGGTTTGTTAGATCCTGAATGTAAACTAGGTTATCAACAAAGCAAATAATTACTAAACTCCCTAGTCAATGTTAGGTCGCGGGAGGAACACGTTCAGTTGAGTGAGGTTCAACTTTTATGTGTAGAGGCCACTTTCCATACATTGCCTCTATTTTATTTATGCGCGTACGTAAATAAAAATCACGCGACAGCAGAAATCTACCCTAACACTGCGCAGATTACGTCATTATTTTTTTTTCCCATTTGTCCATACGCAAGACGGTGTTTTGAAAACTTTCCACGCTAAAGGGAAGTTTCGTTTTCAGTGACTGTTTTTTTCGGATACGTGTAGACGTTTTCAAAGAGAAAAAAATACGGATGGGCGAAACCTTATTTTCAATCTGTTGTCTTTTAATGGTTTCAAAATTTTCCCGTGGAATTTAACTACGATAATTTACATAATTTTAATACCCGCCTTGGCACATGTGTTTCGACTGGAAGCCGTCAGACCACTCAAACCCTTTGATTTTGTGTGCAGGAATGCACCTCACATTAAAAACTTCATGAACAGACACTTCAGAGAGGTACACTAAAAATACTGCAGGGTGCCATGACAGGAGCAGATTTTAAAATACGGCTTTTACAGAAAGGCAGGAGGTATCAGATACAGCAATGACAAATTTTGCTTAAATGCACGTAATAATTTTCCAGCAAAGTTTAAGCCAAGAAATCTCCCTCTGTCATGACATGTGAGAGGTTTTCACTGATAGTTTATTGATAGAATCATTTTGCTAATCCCTTTTCTACCAGCATAGAGACGCTCCTGTGCGCGGTGCGTGCCAACTGATGAAGCTTGACAGCTCTGCCAAGAGCGTAGGCTCGATTTCCGCCGTCTCCCGGGTCCGGTCTTTGATCCTCCCCGAACAGCGGCTGGTAATCGAGCCTACCAAGAGCGTAAAGAAAAAAATAAGAGGAAGGAGTGGGAGAGGTTCCCTTTTCTGCACTCTCCCCTCCCCACTTACTTATTTTTGCACTCTAACTTTCGCACCCTTTCCCACGCAAGTTCACTCGCGAATACTTGTAATGCATACTAATTTCCTCAATCTTAACTCATTCTTAATCCTCTAAAGCTGGTGCTTTTCAATTGATCAAACTAATGTTGCAAAATAGTACCTTAAAACATTGTCACCGAGCTCCTGTAAAAGCCTTGGCTCCTCCGAGGTGGTATGGGACCTAAAGTGAGTCAGCTTCATACAAAAAACCCTTTGGAGAAGCAAAGTAATTCGTTTTCAACTCGGAACGGTTAGCTGAAAATGAAGAGTGTATTTTCCACACTCCGCATTTCAGCTCTCTCTCAAACATTAACTTGACCAAACCAAACAAAATTTTTTTTGGAATTTTGGACCACAATTCAAGACACAAAATTTATTTATTAGATTTCTTATAAAAGCTTTATCGAGTCGTGCGTTAAGAAAAATAGGAAATCAATCAAACAAAAAAAAAATTGTTGTCAACCGCAAAATCAATGTTAACGTGCAACTTACAACAACAACAAAACAAATTTATTTATTGTACCCAAAGTAGAATATTATAGTTATTTTACAAGTTGTTTAATTAATCAATTAACTAAAAGGGGTACTGACTTTCTGAAATAACTAACAAGTTATAAATGCCAAGAAGCCAGATTCAGTAAGATAATTTAAATAAGTTTATTGTAAGGGGTACAATACGGCAGCATATCAGACTGTATACACACAAACACACAGATACAGCTAAAATAAAAAAGGTTACTTTGGTAATTGGTCATTGATAATTGCACATTGGGCATTTGGGCATATGGAACAATGCAATGGTTTACTTGAGTGACCACCAAACAATAGCTTCCCAATGTACAATTATCAATGCCCAAAGCAACCTTTATTGAATCAGCTATATACACATTTAGTAAAATCCAACTAGTGGTCTATTATCAATGCTGCGTTCTGATTGGTTGAGCTACTACTAGGCTATACGTTATAGCCCACTAGTAGCGAAAAGCTCCGGCTTTGAAAACCAAAACAATGGCGGCTGAATCGGGATTGCTAGCTAAAGTTGTTTTATCTCGATATTTTTGACCAACTAGTTGGATTTTAGTAAAACAATTATTCCTCTGGCCCTCATGGCCTCTGAGTCAATAGCCCATTCGGCCTTCGGCCTCTTGGGCTATTGACTCAAATCCCATTCGGGGTCGAGGAATAATTGTTAAATACACTAGCACGTATTACTGTAAGAAGGGCGAAAAAGTAGGATGGAAGTTACGAAGTACTTTTCGTGGAAAGTCGCTCGTAGTTCTTCCACAGTTATATGATTTGCAGACATATTAACACAGAAATGACAAAAACACAGACTTACACGACAGAAAAATAAGTAAAATACTGAAAATTGCGTTAGAATATCGCACGAAGAAAAATCGCGGCCATCTTGTTTCACCACCAGAGACCCGTACACGTACGAGGAAAGAAATAGTGGGGATAAATATTTAAATTAATAAGTTAATTGTTTAATGCTGTCTTTGACTCCTCAATACAATTTGACTTGTTTCAGAGTATTTCTCGCAATATCCCACCTCAAACACGGAAATGGGTTTCCAACTCGCTTTCCCATCCACATAAATCCATAATACTCTTTCGCAATGTTTGCTTCCTCTATCGTCTGACACATGTTTGAATTGAGGGTCTCCGGGAGCCTGAGTATCATTAGGCCAGCGCATAAAGACAGAATACCGAAAATAACCATGGGAAGGGTGACGCTGAGTTCTGGTAACTGAGACTTAAAAAGGAAAAAAAACTCGATGTTAAAGGAGCTATGTAAAGCGGGGACTTCGGTCGTTTCGACACAAAGTCGTTTCCATACAAGTCGCTTCGATACGAACTCAAGCAGTGATATTGCAGAAAAATTCCGAAATCTTCAAGTATATAGTTTGCGGGTGATCATTTAAAAACATTTTGGGTGAATATTCTTCGTTCTTTAAGCCAAGTAAACCTAAACTGAATAGACTCGTATCGAGACGACTTGTATCGAAACGACTTTGTATCGAAACGACCGTAAATCCTCAAAAGGATATTGCTGTTTAAGTCAATTCTGTGCTGAAGACATCACTTAGTGCCTTTTCCCATACTCAAAATGCTATTCAAACTATTTTCATCAGGGAGCATTTACCATAATAATGTTTTTGGTGATTTTTGCAGAGATGGCATTAAAACTTTGAAAAAGTTGGCCCAATTTTATTTTAGATTGGCCCCTTGGGCTCTTAGACCTTGCAGAGACATAAGATAAGAAAAGTTTCAAACTTGGAGTAATTAACTTCACTACACAAAAAGTGGTTTTTCTTACCAGCATCACGATATAAGGAGCTATCATAGAACCAATGCGAGCGGAAAGCGAACACACACCCACAGCAATATTCCTGCAAAAAGCAATTTATAAGTTGAGCCATAGATCGAGCTTTTTCGCCGATTTATCGTCTTCCATGTACAAGGGTGCTAGAAACTAACAGGATCAGATTTTAATAGTATCTACAAAACGAGCCTCCCCGTCCCCAACACCCTAAATTTTCTTGCGCTTCGGTCAACAAATAAACAAATGGAAATGTTGGTTTTTGAGGAAAGAGGATAACCGGAGTACACGAAGAAAACCAACGACAAACTCAACCCCATACATGGCATTGACGCCGGGATTTGAACCCAGGCCACTTTGGTGGGAGGCAATGCTTGCTCGTCGAAATTGATCATTACCTAACAGCAGCATGTTTCCAAAACTTCTATGTGGTGAAAGAATTGGAGAACGACCGTCCTCAAAAAACAATTACGATGTTCTCTATACCTGATTGAGGTAGGGTACAGCTCGCTACTGAAAAGGTACAAAATGCCAAAAGACATGGTAACAAACGCTCGTCCAATGAACGCCAACACTCTGCTGATATGCGTCATGTCTGCACAAACAAGGGATAAACAATAGTTGTTAAAGCAAATGATGTTTTATCTTTTACGTCCGGAGCGAAAAGTGAACACTCAATAAGCAGTAGAGTCGTACCTTCAGAAAGCGACCACAATGAAGAATTTAGTGGTCGCCTACAGGAGATCGCCACTTGCGAGAATCGTATTAAATAGGGTCTCTTCCGGGAAGAGGTCATCTACTTTTTGCAAAAAAAAAATAGTGTATGCGATTTGTGTGTTACGATATGTGTAGTTTCATGTTGTCACCAAAAGTTCCTTGAAACTCTGATTGGTGCAGTACATACAGTGAACAAAGAGATCAGGTCATGCTTCAAGTGGTCGCTTACACGTTGACGAGATTAAAAGCAAAGGAAAATTGTAAAACCGTCAGTACAAAAAGTGCTCGCGGTCGCTTACTAGAGGGGGTTGTTTAAGAGAGGTTCTAACTATAGCCCTTTAACTGGAAGTTTTAGTGTTTTGCTGAGTAGGCGGTCACTTATGGGAGGTGGTCGCTTACGGGCGGTGGTCGCAGATGCAGGTTCGACTGTATCTCCTTTCCGCCGGTTTTCACTAGCCACGAGGTCGAAGTCGGGGTCGTAATCAAATCGTAGAAAGTTGTAGTAGTAGTAAGAGGTAGATTATCAGAGTATAAGTAGAAGCGGAAGAACTAAACCAATAACAACGCTTTAAAACGAGCACTGTGATTAGACGGTTAATCCTTCCGCTTTTGCTTCCGACTCCGACAATCTACTTTTCACTAGCTCTTAAGAGACGTACGGAGTCGTAAACAGAGTCGGAAGAAGATAGAAGTTCTGATTCGTCCGACTCCGATTCTGACTCCGCTTTCGACTCCGATTTTTGATTTTTACCAGGTTTTCAGCACTCTTAAGACTCCATTAACTCTTATACTAACTGCAGAACCTTTTTTCTGAGGAGTCACCCATAAAGTGAGCACACAGTTACCGATGGGACACATTACTAAGGACAACGACGCAACCTTAACGTTGTCCGTTTAATCACGCTCTAAAAGAACACGTCAAATCTTACTGAGACGACAGGTGTAAGAGATGCGTTCAGCTCTAAAAGATTAATTAGAGTTAGTACATACCCTTTGGTACAATTAGGACAAGAAGGCAGGCGAGACCACCAGTTATCATAAACAAACAGAAAGGGATACGGCGTCCAAATCTGTAAAAATGAGAATACTCAAATTACAAGCTTTATTACATCCACTTTGAAATCACTGGCTAACCGTGCAATCTGATTGGCTCTCAGCAGTGTGATTTATTCCTAAATCGCACCATTTTTTGCTCTAAATCGCATCTATTCCAAATCGCGTCATTCATGTTCTAAATCGCATCATTTCTGTTTTAAATCGCACCATTTTTGTTCTATATCGCATCATTTCTGTTTCGAATACAAAATGAGATGTAAAAGCCTTTTTGTCTCGGCTTTTTAACAAACCGGCTACTCTATCAATAAAATATTAATACTGACTAAATTCTGCGATTTCAAAGTGGATGTAATAAAGTGGTAATTGAACTTCGTGTCGTGCAATTTTGGTCTGAAATCATACTTGTGATTTCAAATCGAACTCGCGCTGTGCGCTCGTTCGATTTTGAAATCACGCGTATGATTTCAGACCAAATTGCACTCCACTCAGTTCAATTACCATTATTAATCAATCGACAAGTACAATTGACAGGAAACGATAAAGCCATACACGTTAAGTTTCCGGCAACACTTGTTGATCAACACATGCTGCACAAGTTGCACATTTCCTTTCGACTCAGATTGCCACCGGAACCGGAAATGAGCACAAGACGCTCTGATTAGTGGTACCGGAAGTAAGGTGTTAAACATGACCGAGAGGGCCAGAAAATTATTGTCGCAGACAGACTCGATCAGTAAGTCGGGTTGTTTATGACGCTCTGTTTATGTGTATTGGACAACCCACATAAGCATGAGCCTCATAAAATGAGAAATAACAATAGTTCTGGAACCAAACTCGATGCAAGATGGCGTATTCCATTTGCTACTTAAGCTTTAAACTTTGTTGGAGGTAAAATCTGGACCAGCCACAACGCCCTTTGGAAGAAAACGATACTTTCAGTAGCAAACTGTCAACTAAAATTTGTCGCAAGCAAAGAAACACTGAAATTCGCCTTTTAAATGTTAGCCTTCCAGAGTTGCAAGAAACCGGTCTATGATGAATTAACTTTTAAAACAATAACCACTCTGCTGAATCTTACTTTTGTATCACTATCCACGATAGTATGGTACCTGGCACATCACTAACAACGAACATAATCACCAAATTCAGATAAGGGTCTCCCTCTATATCTGATATATACAACAGAAATCCGTAAAACACCAGGCTTGCTACACACCTGTAAAATGAAAAAAAAGGCGAAATATCGGAGTCAGAAATTCTCATTAAAAATAAGTAAACTTATTTATTATATATCTCAGTTGATACGCGCCCTATGACTAGTAAGTTTAGTAAGGGGTATATATAAATATATAAATAAGTAGTAATGATAATATCTACTGTAAAAATATTAAATCAAAACAGAGAGGAAAAAGAAAATTCAGCCTCTAGAACAACTCATAGGACAGAAAAACTCTCCAAGTCGCAATCAATGAGAACCCAGGATATATCAACACGCAGACATGCCTGAGATGATGACGCCACATTCGCCCTTGAAAAAATTTGATTTGAAAGTTCTCCTGGCCCCGTCTGCAAGAATCCGCTATGCAGATCGAGATTTTCCAAAGAAAGAAATCGTTGGCGAGAGAAAAATATTTCAAAGGAAACTAATTAATATTTGTTAATGCAAATAAGGCGTTAAAGCGCCGGGGCAAATTTCCACGTGATGTTTTCAACTGTTTTTACAACGTCATTTTTTGTTTGTCCTGTTCATGGTAATGCACCGCTTCGGCAGTTGTAGCAAGAAGTGTCATGGGTTGGAAGAAACGAAGAGACTTGTCGAGAGAAAACTTGCCGTATTTTTTCATCTCCAATATCAGGAAAAACTTAACAAGGGAACTTCTGTCTGGGCAAAACTTGCTGGTACGTGTAAACGCAGTATAAATTACTGGTAGAGTCGTAACAAGCTTCATCATTTGACGCGTTAACAGGAACTTGCATTGGTTATGTTTACCGCTTTTCTGACCGGTTGAAAATTCGCACCCTAATGTCACGGCAGTTAATATCGCCAATTACGCGTCTGTATTCGCCAAGGAACTTTACGTTAACGAAGAAACTACTCCAAAACGACAAAATCACGGCTTCTTCTCCAACAAAAATACTTCCCAAGCATTGTAATATCAACTCATACGAACAGCAAAAGTGAAAACTGTTGGGCTAAGTAGTTTTCACCAACCCACAATTTCAATCCGTTTTAGTCTTCTTCAAGTTTGTTTATTAGTACTTTTGTATTTGTTGCGTTATTAACACCCTCTTTTAATTTTTTTTAAGCGATTATTTCCACAGTTAACTCAATTTGGTGGCAGTTCATACTGTAATTTTTTGATAAAATTCGCGTCAAAGCTAGCCTCCCACGCAGACTTTCTTAGCGGTTCGTCACGTATTCCTGCCCCCACGAACAGTTCGTGGGGTAGGAACGCGTGACGAACCCCTAAGAACGTCTACGTGGGAGGCTACGTCGAACCCTCTTTTAACCGTACAGAAATTTTAACGCCAAGCCGTTCCAGATTTGAGCGCCAAAAACGTGCTAACATTTTTCAGCCGATACGTTCGAAAATTTGACCGACGCGGTATGAACACTCTAACCGACTTCATGGATGCGTGGTGACTCAACTACGAGACGCCATTTTCAATTTGCAAAAGTAGCGCTCTACCCACGCGCAGATGGTAAAACCGAAAATCCCTCAATTGTTGGTTTTTAGTGTCACGCCATTCAAAATAGATCAAAATAAAAATCAAAACTGTTCAATAGATAAAAGTCCAGAATCTGGAAAATGAAAGGAGGTAAAGATACAAAGACCCTCGCCAAGATTTAGGTCAGAGGAATATTTCGTATACGAGATATACGAGGAAATGTTTTCACAAAATTAATAGAGATTTGAATGAAGACGCCATGCTGGTGCCCATCCGGATGAGCACCAACATGGCGGACGGAAACCAACAGAAACATCTGGTACCGAGTTTTGCTACAAAAGCGTGAATTTATTCTTCGAGGAACTCCTAAACTTTAAAGTAATACTTTTTCTAATACATGAACTGTTTAGAGAGCAGAATTCCCTGAAATAAGTAATTTTTTGCTTTATAAGCAAAACAACAACTTTGCACGTGCATCAAACTTGTTTGTACATTTCGTTTCCCATTTTTGCACAACTACGACGTGAAATGCCTAATTTCGCGTTTCCTGGAGAACGTAAACAAGCTACGACGAAATTTGAATTTCTCTTTCTGAACTTAGATATGGTTCCTAGGGATTCACCTCCAGGAGGGTTCACCTACATTTGACAAAGTAAGTGGGTAGGAATAATTGCGATAAAGACTGAAAGAACGCAAATAATATTTACTTTTATGTGACGTTCTCGTTGCCGTCGCGTCGTTGGATCTTAAAGTCCCATTAAGCAAACACGACGGCTATACGTGTATGCCGCTGGCCTGTTCTGAATTTGTGCTACACTCTAATGTTTAAACGCCTGGAAAAGACTATGGCCCCAAACAAAAATTGTTGGGGTAAAGGACCCGCTGCTACCGCTGCAAACTACGAGTACCGCGGAAAACAAACTTAATTGTGTATCTCAGGTTTGCAACAAACTTGCTGGAGAAATTGCGCAGGATATTGGTGTAACCACGGCTACTTTGTTTTGTACTTGTGAATGGAAAATGCCTACCAACAGAAACAAAGGATGACGCTTCTTCTTCGCATGCGTGATGTCCGTAAAAGATCAAGAGGCGAATGACTTGTTTTTCCTGTCCTTGACTCAGCAACACCTTGCCGGCATCTTTCCAGGGCATTTCTCAAAAAATCAGAGGTTACAGGTGCTGAATTTTTCTCGGCAAATTTCATCAGAATACGATGAGCTTCGTCCAAACGATTTTGAACGACAAGCCATCTTGCAGACTCTGGTAGTGCTCTGAAATGACAAAGAAATGATAACAATAATTATTGTTATTATCATTATAGCAATAATAATAGGGAGTTTACGCAAAGACGTTTATAAGCGATGCACGTCAACCGGAAGACATCACTGTACTTTTTGCAATTAATATTCGGCTGTGGCCTCGCCTTATGTTTGGGCAAGTGGTCGGCTCTATTACAGCAAAGATATCAGGCATTACAAATTTGGTAGCATCACGATACACGTATATTAAAAGGAAAACGCCTCATTTCCAGTTGACGTGCATCATTTAAAAACGCCCTTCAGGATTTATTCTAGAAATTGGCCAATGAGGGTCAAATGGGCCCCCTTCTGTAATTTTAGGGTGTCCTTTTTCAAGAAAGAGGGTCCAAGAAAGAGGGCACCAAATCCAAAGAAAATGAGTGCTTTTTTAGACTTTTGACATTCAACATTGGCCGGACTCGCCGGACACTTTGCCGCCATTTTGGAACATTCTGGGCAACTGAAAAAACCTGGGATCGAATCAAAACTGCAGAATCCCGGATGTTTGTCTGGTGAAATAATGACTCAAACGAAGAAGAGAAAGGCAATTGAGACAGTAAGAGGCTATAAAAGTTCAAAGTAAGTTTATCGAGCGGCCGTCAGATGAGTGTTGTTGTCATTGATGTTTTCGAATACTGTACTTTATTTTAAAAAAAATAGTACTTATCCTTGGGTCTATTTTTTATTATATCATTTTTTTGACTATTATTTTTCTTTGACACGGCAACTTGCGGCATAGTTTTTCCAAATTGAGGAAATCCCGCAAGGCCACACTCTAGAATAAACCCTGTCTTTGCTCAAATAATCATTATTATCGTCGTCATCATCATCATCATCAACATATCATCACTACCAACATCATTATCGTCGTCGTCATCATCATTTAATCGTCATGACATGGTAGTATTACTAAGAACAGCCTCCAAAGAATTAAACGATTAACAATGTTCAAAATAGAGCCATTAATATGAGGATAAAGAAGACGCGAACTTTACCATTTATACGGGCACGTCTCGAATAATACGCGAACAGGTCGCTTAAATGGCTCGCGTCTTATTTCTTGGAATGGACTCGATATCGCGTGCATGTTGCCTGTCGCAACGTCATTCCATCACGTCACGTGTTAAAATAACACTTGCGCAACTATGCATTCGCGTCTTGCAAGAGACGAGGGTCATTTATACGAGGTTTTCTTTTCCTTAGCTAAGAACAGGTGTTACGAGCTGTTCTTAGACAAAAAGCGTATTAGCTGAGTCCTGTCTTACTAAAAAGGATATTTAAATGAAGATCAACCTCGTTCCCAGGTTCTCTCTCCTACTCGTCGAGAGATCCTGGTTTGGTCTGGTCACGTGTCTCCCAGAATCTGGGAGATTACAAACGAACGATTTGGGGGAGGGGCAGATAAGGTGAGATTTGTCTCTGCAGAGAGTAGATGTAAAGTGCAGCCATGAAACTGTGTACGTGACCTTGTCTTAAAGGTCATGACTAGCCAAGACAAAACCTCGAACGCCGAAAATAATGCACAAAATTCCTTGACAGCGAAAGCGTAACGAACTTCAGAATATCTGGATGTTTATCTGTCGGGGATGCTGTCCTCTTCAAATTGGCGCATGCAGAGGAAATCGAGGATTCAGTCACCGCTTGTGCAGTCAAAAATAAATTACGCAGAGGTATTCATACCGATCGAAACGCACTGGATTTGAATTGCCATTTCTATGTTGTGGAGGCCACATTAGAAAACAATTACGATTATATAGTTCGAAGGGCGCCGAAAAGATGTATCAACCGTCGCCTCCTCACTGACCTCGAAAATGAGGTCAAGCAACAGGAAGAGAGAATACGCCGCCCGGACACAGTTTGATTGCTCAAATGAAGAAAGGTAAACAAAATCTTGAAAGAGTATATTTTTATCTATGGCTCTGTGTCTTTCAGCTTTTTTCGTTGTCGTTTAAAATCAACCGAATGGCCGTAAGCATCTTTGTTAAAAATTGGCTTGTACGACCGCCAACCGTTTATTGTTCCTTTTTTATTTTTCTGGAGGGTTAGGTATGCTTAGCTTTAGAGGATTTTAAGAAATCACCTGGCTGCATGTGTTTTCTAATAACGTTTTTATATGGACCAGGTACAAGAAAGCCTTTCGCTTGGAAGGTTATGTTGTCTGTTTTGTCTCTGCTTACACTGCATGATTTCCTGTTGTCATCTGTCGCGTTGTGGTCACTGACTCGTCCCCAGTCGACGAACGACTAGGGACGAGTCAGTACTATATATATCTCTATCGACCACTAAAAGCGATACGTTTTTCCATTGCCCATCATAACAAAGGTTGGGGGCTGGAGAAGGCTGACATTTCATTTCAGACTATAGCTATCCGTTAAGTCAACAGATCTAAAATATTATTTTGACGGTTCAGCAAATATGAATTCCCTGCTCAGACAGCTAATGGTGTAGGCTTTGCAGTATACTAATTCGGCCCGATTAAAAGCAGCCGCTGTGAAGCAAACATTGATACTTTCCATGATGTAAGGTTAATAAAGAGAGACTTTCCCTTCAGTATAAACACGCTTGTGTAGAACTCAAGATCGTCGATCTTTATTTGCGATTGGTGTCGTCGATTGAACTGCGACAACGCGAGTTTTTGCTTTCTCCTCTGGTATCGCGTGAGATTCGTTCTATTACAGATCTAGGGATTTTTAAGCGCCATCTGAAAACGTACCTCTTTAGGGAAGCTTTTTGTTAATTTGTTAATTTTTAATTTTTATCACGACAATTGCTGGTATTTTAACATATGTTGTATATTTTAATTTTATCATAGTATATTTTAAATAATTAGTAGTTACATACCCTTTATTAAGTTTTTATATATAGAAATCATGTAATGCGCGCTTGATCATTTCATGGAAAGCGCGCAATATAAGAATTAAATTATTATTATTATTATTGGTAAATCATAAACTTGTTTATCTAGTGGCAGTTCTGTTTGGTCAGAAATTTTCCATGTTTTCAGTTATAGTGGTAGGTCTTGCCCTTGCGGACCTTCGCGATCATTGCGTGAACGAGACACAAAATTGGGAGACAAAGGACTCCTCCCTCAGAATACATTTTGTTCTGGAGCCACATGACCAGACCCAACCGGGGTCTTTCTCTCTCTCTCTCTCTCTCTCTCTCTCTCTCTCGCGCTCCGTAGTGACGGGTAGGAGAGAACCCTGGGAACGAGGTAATATGACAATTTATTTAGAGAGTGAAAAACACGTTTATTGTGCCAACTTCAGGCTTACTTTATCTCACCATGGTAATCAAATCATATATAATAATTATATAGAGATCAAATACACAAAACTTGGTCAACCCTTTAAGCCCAAATATCCACATACAAATTCTCCAGATAAATTTCCCTACATTTTCTTGAAAAATTAGTTGAGATAATTTATTAAAAGATCAAAGCACTTTTTCGCTGGTGATCATTTTATTAATTCTGTAACCTTTGTACCTGATGTTGTATTGATATGGTTCGCAGAAAACAGATCTTGGTCATTCTTGGGACAAAAGGTTAATGGAACCTTTTTTGCATGTGTGTGTTTTTTTAGGGTTGCAATCACGCAGATATTCTTTGAGGTTGTCAAACATTCCCCTCCACCCGCCAACTGATCATGGATAAGAACTGCTTCATGCAACTAGCTAAAGAAGATCTGCGTAGGAGACTGATTTGAAAGGGCAGCAAACTTACGTGTAGAAGACAACAAACAGTAGAGGAGGGAAGCTGGCCACTAGCAACAGTGTCCGCCAGTAGCGGATGTTGTAGGCTAGTAAGGCAGATGCACCTGATCCAATGGCCCAAAAAAACCCTGAGCCCTTCCCAGACATGGTGCGGAAACTTGGTCCAACAAGCTCGAGGATGTATACATACTGGACGACAAAGAAACCAGTCAAGGATGCTGCTGTGGCAAAGCGAAGGATTGCAAAAAGGATTATGTTATGGGAGAAAGAAGCACCAACACTGAATGCTGCCTGGAGGGACAACAATAAAAGTCGTAAGTAATTAAAAATAGTAATTATGATAATAATAATAATTAACAATCAAAATTTAATGTAGGTCTTTTGATACTGTTCAAAATTTAATTGAAGGTGAGCCTGGAATGAATTGCAGTTATAGTGACTGATCACCCCATTCTGTAACTCATGTTGGTGGCCCTTACACCATCAAGATACTTCCACATTACCCAATAACGTGAGCCTGCTCACAGGATACTAGAATAAAATTCTCCAAGGTTCCATTTGTTCTACAGGGTACAGTGTATCTGACTGAACTTAAGTAAACATTGCTTCAGCGAGTGTCCACAAGTCCTCAGCTAACTATGTCCTTGGTACATGTACCAAAACTTTGACCCTCCCCAGCCAGGACACTAGGTGACTGTCTGTGCCTCCCACTGAGCTCTGCAATTATCATGATAATTATTCTCAGAAGAGGCCTGGTACAGCTGGCTAGGGCAAAGTAAGAACAAGGTGCTTGCCAGCCAAAGCCTCTGGTAAACACTGCTCCTTACAGTGAAGGGGTTGTGTCAAAATAGCCCCCTCCCTACCCCACTCGTTCCCCCCCCAGGCCTAATTTACCCACCTAGTGTTAAAGCAGTCCCTGGGCTATTCATCTGTACCAACCACACTGGCATGGAGCCGAGCTGCACCTGATGCCAGGTGAAAACCTAGTGGCCACTTTTTAACAAAAAAAGACAGATAAACATGCAGGAGCAATTTGTCATCAGATCAGGACTCATTGAAAGCTTTATTCCATGCAACCCTCCAGTTCTTCTCTTATAAAAACAAGAACAATAATTTCAGTATCACTTGCACTCAGCCATGAAATGATAAAAACTGCATTATAACTTGGGAGGTTTAATAAGGCTGAGGACCACTGAATAGTGGTGTGCCAATCATTGATTATAATCAATCATGGATTGAAACCTTAAGCAAAGCAATATTAAACTATTATGGAAAATTTCCAGTTGATTATTGCAAAAAAAAAATTAAAAATTAAAATTATAAAATTTTTGAAAAAAAAATATATTGAAACTTGTATGTTGTCTTTTCAATGGACTAATTAATAATGATGTCACTAAAATCCATTGATGACCCTTTTTCTTATATTTCGTGTGTTCTTATTGTTGTCTTAAAGTGATTGTCAGAATAAAAATGGTCTACTGTTAAAAAAAATCAAAAGTTTATATTATGACTTTACGCTTGTTCACAGGTGAAAAATAAATGGCCTTCTATATTATATAAGGAGATTGTTTTGATTACAGTCAATGATGAAAACTGTGGGTCAATTTGATTATTTCTGATGATTGATTATGACATATCAGCTAATTCTCAACACTACTACTGTACTTTATTGACTAAAACCAAGTGCCTCCTGAGATTGCTAGTCTGTGATAATGTTTCCTGTTTATGACTGCTTCCCAAATATTCCACCAAATGTGTACCACAAGCATAATACTGATCGCTAGCTTTCAACCAGCTGTAAAACCATGCAGTTATTCATCATTGAGGAAGGATTACATTGCGTGACAACCAAAAAGAAGGTCATTCAACTTTCCTTGCCCCTTGAAACCATGGTGATTATAATGAATGATGCACACTATCAAAACGCGAACAAAAAAACACCCTAGGTGACTTCTTTTGTGTATTAACTGCTTAATTATCCTTTCATATTGCCTTGATTTTGCTTGTGATTGAAAGGAGAATTTGACAATACATAAGTTGTTTAGAGCTTTATGAGGAACCGTTCCAAATTCGTTATGATCAAACAAAGTGCGTTGACATACCGGTAAATAAAGAATACTTACTGTAAGCACTGAACAAAGTAGCATGCAAAATCGTCTGCCATAAAAATCAGAGATGGCCCCAAAGAGGAAAGATCCAACCAAACATCCAGCAGAAAATGCAGCTTGTATACTTGCAGCTATAAAGGCTCGGTCACAGATGAGGTTGTACTAAGAAAATTAAGGAAAAAAAAAAGAAAAACTACTGCTTACATTCTGAGGATTATATTGATGGGATAGAGATATAGTAGATGTGTGCTATGACTTAATTGTAAAGGCTTATACAATAATCAGGGTTATCAATAGGATTTGAAGTAGGTGTCTGCCCAACCTTAAAGAGGCAGCTGTGACAAAAGGAGGGGCCAGGTCTGAGGCATATCCCAAAGAAAACTTTTAAACATGGAAGCTCTGCATGCAATTTTGAGGCCATTTTGGGCATCAACTACAACTATTACAGAATAATGACCCACCACATTCTGTCAACTTAATAGCAAGTATAAGGGCAAGAACCTGAAAAACCAAACAAAATAGACTGGACTGCCATGACACAGCCCCATTTAACTTTTGACAAATAAATTGAGGTCATAACATTTTGCAGAAAAAAGGAAGAGCATTAGCTAGGCCCTCCACTGTATCAAACCACACAGGCAGCCAACACCTGTCTACTAAGTGTATCAAAGCCATGAATATAAATATATGCATTAATTTTATAGCTCTTTTTTGAATTCTCTCTAAATACTGCTGCACACATGCAGGCCTGTGCAGCCAGCACGCCCCAATTGTTAGTCCTTTTTGTATTGTAAATGAACACAAGATACAGACAAACATAATACGCAAGGGAAGGTAAACATGCCTACCTCTGTCACTGCACTGGTAAATGTTGTAAACTGATACTTGGTACAGTTGGTGCAGCATTTATTTAAATCACACTTCACGTCAGGTGTTATGCAATGAAACTCAGGTGTACCAGTGAGAAAAAAACCTCCAGCAAACTGAATACCACTTGGTATGATGACAACTGCACAGCAGAGAATGTAAATAACCCTTTGCCGTGGACCAAACTCACCAATGGAGTGCAAAATGTCATCAAACTGCAATGCTGAGGGGCTAACAATCACAAAATTTATAACAATCATTATTTTATAAGTCAATTATATTGATAATATATAATAATAATTGTTTACACTTCCACAAACCAAAAAGAGTTGAACACAAAGATAAAGTTATTGTTTAGAACAATCCTAGATAGACAGCAAAACTTTATTTTATTTGCACAGTCAAGAACCCGTGAACAGTCAATGAGCTCTGCTGCAACACTGTAGCGCTTCGCACTATTGACAAGGTAGCTTTTCATCCCGCCACGAAAAGCTAACCGGTATATTGTGAGCACCCATATATCAAAATGTGGATTGTCACGGTGCAGCTTCTCGTTGTCACAGAAATCGCGTCACCATAAGCGTTCTTGTGTATGAACAGAAGCCCCATCTGATATGGTTTTCATGGGAGGGTGGGGGCAAGTTATCTGTCTGATGTAGTGTGAGCATAGCCAAAGTATTTTAAAACTATATGATTACCATCTGAATTGCACTCCAAAAAATTTCATTTCTTGCTTTGTATTTCTTCCTTCTTATTTCAATAATAACTGCACTCTTCTCAGTCAACAGTTTTGTGTTTTGCTGCCAGCAATCACCTTTTAGCAGACCACTCAGGAAACATAATAATGTTTTCTTAATGGATACAAAACGTCTGTGGGTTGTAATAATAAAACTGGTAGATTCCCCAAACTAGCCTTACACGTCTTACACACGTCTTATTATGAATATAGCAATCTCATAATATTTCACAAAAAAAGGTTAAGGCCCTGTCTGTAGGAATCCAGACAGTTTTGTCACCACAAATTTGTTTTCCTGAGTCTGTGAGGAAGGGGTCTTAAACCACTCTGAAACATGCTGTTTTGGTGAGCGGAATCTACTGGTTTTTAATGGATGAAAGGCAGATTCATGTAAAAAAATTATATTATATATATGCAGTTTCAAAATTATTCAGATTCGTGTGCAAGGGGCCTAAACGAATAGAGTCAAAACATGTGTATGCATTATAACTTTATTCTGCAGAGCAGAAATCTTATTCCCTTACGGGGAATAACAGCAATGAAACTAAAACAACAAAGTGACCCACGGACCAAATGCTTTCAAATATGACTTTATAAAACAATGATTTCAAAGCTTGTGGGTCACCCACTTTTCGAATTTGATGCCAAAGAAACTCAAAACTGTTTTTATGCATCTTGACAATGATTATGCCAAATATATAAGTTAAGTTTTGTTAGATCCTACAACAACAGTTATAAGTGTAAGTCACAGCCACTATCTTAATATTACTGGCTTTCAGCTCAGTTCACAGCAGCTATGCTGGTGAACAAGAAGGAGGGTCTCAGTGGGGTGATAGCTGATTTGACGGTTGATGGTTAAATTTGAGAGCTTTTGATGGTTGACAGTTGTTAGAAATAGGAATTTAGGCCAAAAGTTTAAGTAAATATTAATTTGTGTTTACGTAACTTACTATTACAGTTGTAACCTTTCTGTCTTGGAGGTTGTCTTGGCCGAAATTCCTGCATTCCAGCTCCTTTTTCAGGAAAATCCCAGGTTACATCCCCCATTTTTTTCATGGTAAAGAATCCCGCATTCCATGCCCAAATATTTGTGAATCCCACTCCCAGGTTGCAATCAAATCCCCTTTCCTGTTAAGTTTTTTTGCGTTTGCCTAAGTCCTGCACCGTATTTTGGTCAAATCCTGTATTCCAAAAATACCCTTCTAGACCCTATTTGACAGTTAAATTTTAGGCCGCTTGACGGCTGACAGTTAATTCCATCAAGACCCTCCAAGAACAAAAGGAGGAACAAAGCGCTTTCTTCACGCAAAGGAAAAGGAAAACGGATACCTGAGGAAGGGGTGTTGAAGAGAAAGAAGAGAGTATTGGTCTCCTGTTCATATTCAAAGCATTAAAATGAAATGTGTTTACAATTACTTTGTACAGAACTGATGTGATGTTTATGCGCCGATTCTGTCAATCTGCAAACAATCAATACCAATTGACATCAATTTATCTATCAATTGTTATTGAAAATCAATACCAATGCACAACCACACAAATCTTCACCATCGATTGGTCATTGATTATCAGTAGGGTTGGATTATCAATATCGATTGGTATTGATTGATATCGATTGTCATCAATTATCGATTTCATCGATTGGATACGCCGGGGATGATGGAAGGAATGCATGGACTCTGTTATGTTCATACAATCATAATGTATTCTATGAACGAAAAAGAAAAGAAAGTTTCACAAATTTTAGAACAAGGTGCTAAAACGATAAAAACAAACTTTAATCCGCTCATTAACCCACTAACTGATGATTTCCCTGAGGGTTTTCCTTACTACAAATAAACAACCTGCGTTGTAATAATAATGTTTCGGAATCCCTAGTAATATAATGCATAAAGCTGGCAACATGCGGTAGTAATATACACAATCACAATCTTCCCAGCGATCATTGACAAACACAGTTGAATTTTGATAAAGTGACAATACGATTACCTGTTTACGCTAACAAGAGCTCCATCAACTTGGTTTCCTTCGGTTATGTCATCTTCAAAGCTCGACGAACTGTCCGTCATCCTGTCATGATCGACAGCTCGAATGGGCTCATCATGTACTTCATGTAAACAACAAAAAAGCGAGACTCTTTCTGATCCAGGATTAGGCCTGGGCGCTAGAGCAGATATCGGCGAATGAAAATCCGCTGTGTCTAGCCATCATGACGTCACGTTCAAGCCGGCCCGGGAAGGTTTGAAAGAAGGTACAACAAAAATGCTTGTCGTGAAAAGTTCACGGTCCAATGTCTCAGTAACAGTAGAGCAAATCATTTCTACAACTAAAGCGAAGCTGCAGATGTTATCATATGAAGTATCAATAACGCAATTTCAACATGAAAACAAAAAACAGGCTGGTGATTCGACTCGAAAGTGTTGACAAATGCTACCGATTGATAAAAATCATCACCAAGATCATCTTTAATGGCCTGTAACTCAGAAACCCCACAATACTGCGCTTGGAGACAAACGTATAACTTACATAGGTCAAAACTTTCTCATTTTTGAAAAAGTAAATCTCATAACAATTTCATAAAAATGATCAGTGGCTTTAAACACTACTTTCCGCAGGTACCTTGCGAGTCAGCATTCATCCTCAGTAAAATTCGCCTACATAACCCGTGAAAGTACCCGAATTTTCCTTAATTAACGACGTTTCTCTACCTCTTCGTCTCAGCACTCTTTAATAAGACTCAAGATGGCGGAGATAGACGCCATATTGTATGACGTCACAAATAAGTCCTCAACAGCGTCATGGAAAATCAACCGTGCCTTGGAGAGCAACCCATTATCGGTGAGAAAAGTGTGTTCCGAATACAACTCAGCAGATAGCCAAAGCAGGTTGTTACTTTAACCCCTACTTCTTGCGAATTTGAGTTTTGTCGTTAATGTAGCATGCGAACGGCAGACGTCTCTCCTCGCTCATCGCCGCTGAGGAACGTTTCACGAGGAAACATCCCACACGCTACGAGAACAATTTATTCCCTAACTACACACAAAAGCAAAACAGTATTTTATGCCCCGCAAAAAGATATCAGACAAATATAAACAAAAAAAAATAACTTCCCGGAATAAGTAACTACTGCCATTCTGTAAAATCAAAAAAAAAGAAAAAAATCGCGTGAACGCACCCAGTAAATAAATCACAGAAACACTATCAAGGGTATGTTGAGGCACGTTTCCCCAGGGAACACCCCAAACCCAACCCGCCCCCCCCCCCCCCCCCCCCCCGCTAAAAAAAAGTGTTGTTATCATTACAGTATATAAGAAACTATATCGGAAAAATCACCCAGACGCGACGAGGTCAGTGCACACACTGGAACATTTCTCGAAATTGTGTCTCAAAATGTACCGGATTGCATCACAGCGCATATTCATTTCAAAAAATTTCCAGGGGAGCATGTTCCCGGACCCCCCGAGGAAGCTCGCCGCCTTGGGCCACTCGGGACTTCTCCCCCAACCGATAAATCGTAAATATAGACAGTATAATAATGGTTCCTGAAGAAGAAATGTTTAATTAATTGGTAGGGAATTAAGAATAAGGGAAGCCAATTAAGCAGGAAACTACACTGATGTATCGTGATCAGGGAGTTTATTTTTTTCATTACTACTTTTATATATTGTTTTGGAGACTCAGAAATACAATAGAATATAGACTCTGCCATTACGTATGCAGTTGTTCAACTTGAGAATAGCTCGAAGTCAGGCAGCCGCGGGACACCTTGTTCTCGACAGTTTTAAGTTCAAGAAAGTACCCTCTCTCTCTCCCTCTGGGTATGAAAGCTAGTTGCTGGTCACTTTTCTGAGGCATGATACTGTTTTTATCATGCTGTATGCTTAGAATACTAAAATTGAAACACTGGGATCGGGTACAGGTACGTAAATCAGAGCAGTTCCATCGTGCTTTTCTGTTATTTTATAGTCACATGATTATGTCACTTAGTTGTCCACTCACATTGTTGACTCAAGCTAAGCAAATAGTGGCTCTGGATCACAAACCCCATTCAGTTTAGGCAGTTAGGAAACTTCATTCATTTTGTGTCCAGTGCAAATTCTTAATCCCAACCAATTTTGAGAGGATATTAAAATGTGCCATTTCCACCTACCCGCATCTTTTTTTCCAGTTGTTTATTTTATTTTAACCTTGACCGGCAAGCAACCACGTAGTACTGAAGGCTTTTGACAATATGCCAAAGGGTAGCCAAATAAGACTGCCACAAAGGGGTGACTTATTTTGCTGGTTAAGACGATTTTAGGCTATATTTAACGTTCAATTTCCTGTTTTACAATCCCTGAGGGAAGGTCCAAGACTCACCGCCAATCAAGTGACTGACAGGTTGAAAACAAGCAAAAACCACTCTCACGTTCACAGCCTCAAAAGGGCGTGTTATTTCTTGATACCAAAACCGCTATCATCATGCAAGCTTTATAGGTTATCGTCAGTTTAAAACAGTATAGTTGATTAACATTATATCCTATCTGTTTCTCTGAAAGCGCCCACCCTTTGTAACAATCCATTAAAATTGCAGGCTTGGCATTTTGCTTGCATGTTCCGAAACAAATTTCCTGTGCTGCTGTTTTTTCTCTCTGTTGAAGGTAGTCCTAACATTATGTGAATGAATCCTAAAGGGTGACCATTAACTGATGAAACAGACTTGTGCTACTGTTTATTATAACTCCAGGTGGTTCTTACTTTTGAGTCTGTGGATGGTATCCTAAAGTGTGATTTTAAGCTGCTGAGCAATTAGTTCTTTCCTGTGGTATCGTCTATCATAAAAGGAAAAGTGTGGCTTCTAACTTTTTAGTCTGTAGAGGACATCCTTTAGTAACCATTGAAATGAAAGTTACTGATCAGTACCTTCCTTTGGAGCTGTTAATTATCCTGTGAAAGGTGGCCTTGACTGTTGAGTCCTGTAGAAGTGGTCCTGAATTGTGACCATTGAAATGAAAGCTACAGAGCATGCGGTACTTCACTGAGATGCTATTTACTACATGTATACGTTAGATTTTAATTTGTGGTTCTTTTTCTCTTATTAGATAAAAATACTACAATGCAACTGAATGTTATGGTTTAATTTTATTCTTTGTTTGGGTTCCTTTGTTTTTGTGCATGGCAATGTATCATAATGGGCTTGAAAAAAAGAAGTAGAATCCGGTTATTAACCAGGAGAAAATCAACCACTACAAAGACGCAAAAATACACAACAGCAACAATACAACTCTTTAACTCAAAGCTGGTCGCCGAGATATAATGTCCTTTAATGTCTATTTCCTTTCAAATCCACATTAAATCTAGCTCCGAGTCTTCGGTCTTCACAAATGTATAACTTGTAAATTCATGGAAATGAAAGTTACACTTTCTTCTATCAGATTGCTTTTTGTTTGACTTCCTTCATTATAATCAGGAATGCAATTAGCTGGTCGCCGAGATATAATTTCTTTTTATGTCTATGCCATTGCAAATTCTCATTAAATCTAGCTCTGAGTCCTCGGTCTTCACAACGAAATGTATAACTTGTACATTCATGGAAATGAAAGTTACACTGACTTTCTTCTATTGCTTTTTGTTAGACTAGTACCGCCATTATAATCAGGGATGCAATTAACTGGCCGCCGAGATATAATGTCTTTTGCTGTCTGTCCCATTAAAAATCATCACATTAGATCCAGCTATGAGTCCTCGGTCTTCACAAGGGTATTGAAAGTTACTTAGTAACATTTTGTTCTGTTGCTTTTTGGTAGACTGACACCATTATAATCAGTGTATAGTTTGATGCTTCGTAATGTTGAGCTTTATGCAAGTGTGGCACGCTCTAACTAGATGGAGTGGGACCATTTCAAATAACTATAATTGCAAAGTACCCTCTTAGGCACTACTGCCGATAATTTTTTTAATTACAATAGGCCCTGCAGTAAGATTTATAGTGAATAGTGAGTTCATTCTTCTGTGTAAATGCCTCAGTTGCTATAATTTCAACTAGTGGATGTACTGATTTTAATATCTTCTTGATAGACTGGTATGAGATGGTTCCCACCACTTCCCACCCATCAATGGCAATCTTGTATTTTTATCTTTTGAAGACAAATCTAATTGATAATTAATTTTTGTTGTTGTTCAGTTACATCTGCAAAATTTTGTGCCATTGTGACAATTCTCTTCTTAGCTGCTACTGCATCAGTGTTATATATCATTTCCTTTTGGGTCGTCGCTGAGATCCAAACCGTGCAACTCCGGTAAAACAGCGGTAAGGCAGCACGAACCAACGTCCACTGATATTTCTTTTCAGAACTTTGCCCTTACAAAGACGCAAAGCCTTGGAATTAGAAACCACTAAGCTTATCTGTCCTATTGACGTTGTAAAATTAGCTATTCATCATGGACAGAATTATAAGCTACTCAGGTCTATTTTGGCTTTTTGTCTTGGTCACACTTGCGAACTGATTGCCGGAAAGCGTGGAAAGTCTGTCTCAATACCACATACCTGGTGACGTACGAGACCTGCCTAGAACAAAACAACACTTAATTTGTACGAAAAAGGAGAGATTTTCATTCACATCATGTTTCCAATGAGAATTTTGCATCACGCAGGGTGTCAGGCGATGTTCTGTGTCATTTGATGTACAAGTTCTTTCTTTCTTTTTAAACTTTTTTGTTAGTTTGTTTAAAAATGTTTGAACAATTTGTCTTAAAACAATTTATAGCTAGTTTTGCTTAGCGTTGTACTTTAACTGTGCATGTATTACTTAAAGTTTAGAAATAAAAAATGCCAGCATGCGATTCAATTGCATTGCCTTTCTAACTGCTTGTATCAGCCTTTTTTCCGGAGTAGAACACAAGTAGGTATAAACGGCATGAACATGGGGGGTAGCAAAAATATCTTACATTATTTTTGAGAGCAAAATTTGCAGCTTAATTGACGAATTAGTCTAGTAAATGGAGCGCGACACTAAGCTGCTTTAGTTTGTACCACAAAGCTACCTTTGTTTGCTTTGCAGACGATTTTTTGTTTTAAGAAACGACAATAATGTTTAATCTCTTACAAATGTCCGGTTTCCAAAAATACATAG